GATCTGCGTCTGACGCTTGCTATATCAGCAGAGTCCACCAGATGGTGCTGTTGCTCCTTCTCTGCTCCTCCTCAGAGTTCCTGGCGCTTGTCAGAAGGTGGAGGTGCTGCGCCCCCTTCATTGTCTAAGCAGGAACCAAGAGGAGAAGATCCTGCTTGCCTGTGTAATCCCTTCTCTCCGCGGCTCACGCGCTCAGCCGGCCGTCATGGCGACCGCAGGGAGGCTCTACTGCGGGGTGAACCGCGTCTAGAAACTCCCCTGGGATTCTGATATTCTTCCCTTGTGCCCGGACGTAGATGTAACACCTTCTTCTGAGCTGCGGGAATACTTTGGCTTGGACAAGCCTGTATTACCAGAGAGGAGGAGAAGGGGTAAGGACCATGCAGCGCAAGTCTTCCCGTCACTGTTGCTCTGTTTAAAGGAAGTAATTGAACTTGTTTGGGAGTATCTTTTCTCTCATCCACTGGTCTTTTTAAAGGGACTGTCCTCTCTGTCCTGCGGTGTGGATTGCATTGCAATATTCCTCTGTAGATGCAGCAATCGCTTATAGGGTTCCTCTCCATGATTTGACTGGTGACATTTAAATGATCAATACCCCATCAGGAAGTGTGCAAATGTGATCTGCCTGCTTAGTTTCCACAGTCTATCCAGGTGAGTGTATTAATGTCACATGTGCTGTAGCTGCTGTTAATAATACCCTGGGGATTACTGCAGCCTCTGCTCTGTTAACCCACATTACAGTCAGGGTGTCAAGTCTGTGAGAGGTGAGTCAGAGGAGTCTCTCTTATCTTTTTTTTTTGCAAGAAATTGCATCATGCATTTGTCCAGCTGACTTAAAATCCTTTTGCCCAATTTCCACACAGTGCCATTATTATTATTAAGGGAACTTCCACAGATCCAGCCACACCCACATATTAGGATCTGTTGCAGAGCACAAGAGGAAATTGAGCCTTTTTTTGTGGTTTTTGTTATGCAGCTTCTTTCAGGTGGAGAAGTGGCTTTATCAAGCTGCAGCCTCTGGCCATTCAGCTGTCACTAAAGGTTTCCAGCTGTGCACTGGAGGGGCCCCTTGCACATAGTGGAGCCACTGTTATAAAGCCCAGCTCTGCATTACACCTATGTGGGGAATTTTTAGCTAACTTGTTGAAATGCAGGGAGGTTTCCCCTGTCTCTCTCTTATCATACACTGAGTGACTTGTGTCTTAGTGCCAGTTGCACAAGTGGTGGCTATTCAGTGTGTTTGTTTGGACCTGAGTTATTGGCACTGAGACTGAACACAGAACTCCTGACCAGTTGATTTGTGAGCCTCTTTGAGAGGGGCTGCATGTGTTGGCTAAAGTAATCACTGTCTGCTCTTGGCCTGGCCTCTATTTCACATTTACTTTCTAGGGAAGGCCTGTGCTCATGTGCCATGGTTGTGCAGGTCACCCAATATGTAGAGACAAACTCAAAGCCTCTGCCTAAAATCAAGACAATAGCTATCGGGTTCAGATGTAACAAATGAGCAAGTTTAGATTAAAGTATGTTTTCTTTCCTAAATCATTTCCAAAATGGCTTTCAGAGCTTGCTCGTTGCAGACTTCACTGGAAAACGGCAATGTTTGCTAACACTGGTCTGTGATGACTGAACAAAACAGGTGTAAACGATACAACGTTCTTCAATTAAAGGGATTTTCTATTCTACCCATTTGAACTCCTTAACTGAAACAATAGTTTTTAGGAATATTTTTAATGATCTCATTTTATATTCAGATGGTGGCAGCACCATTCATTTTCTAAAATTGTGCCATTCAATCCCCAAATATGTTTGTGTTGAAAACCATTCCTTATAAAAAGCTTGACTGAATATAAATGTGCATCTAAATGAACTAAGAATGTCTTCAGTGGAAGAAATAGTCTTAGAATGATTTAGCCAATGATCAAAAATCTGAATGACCCAAAGGTCACTTTATGGTACAAAATGCTGATAGAGTCCTAACAAGATCTAATATTAGTTTGAATGTGCTTCTTATTCACCTTTTCATTTTTTATCCACCCATATCAGATGTTTGTCTTTTCAAGTTGAATTGTAGAGGATTTATAGCAAATTTAGGACCACAGAATAAAAACACCTATTAAAGGGTTGTTCATAGTTTTTGACCACTAGCAACACGTGGTATGAGAAATGGAGAGCTTCTAAATTTATGTACCTATCAAATGTAGGAAATGCAGAAAATGTTGTATCAATAATCTGGTAGGGAAAAATTGGTAAAGGTTGCTTAAGTTATACTGCCTACAACAGCTATCCATTGAGGTAGTCAAACTAGCCCAAAAACCTACATTGGAACATTTTACTACTAAAAATAAAACTATTATATTATTAATTACATTATTAATAAAGCTACTACAGAATCTGTCGCAATCTTTTAAAAACACCTGTTTTAAACTAGTATTCACAAACTAACTTCTTTTTGTACCTCTGGTAATACCAGCATCCCCAAATTGGTACCAATTTTAAGTTCTGCATTCATGGTGCTTTTTAAAGTTAAGTGTTTTGTGAAATCTTGCAAAGGAGGGAATCCTTTAACACCAATCTCTGTTATTGTTATTGTACACTGAAAAAATGGAGAAATGAAAATGCGCACAAATGACAATGGACAAAGGTGGGTAGAATACCTAAAAATGTTACTGAAGAAAGAGTAGCACTACTTCAATATTTTTCGCTGAAGTAAATGTAAAAAAGTATTTGGTAAAAGGGCTACTTGAGTACTGAGTAAAACAATGCACACAGACAGACTTTATGTGCAAAATCTGGTATTTTAAAGACTCAAGTGCAAGAGTACAAATAAATGTCATGAATATAAAATAACAAATGCAAGTTGAAGAAAACCTCTCACCAAATAATATTTTTTTTTTTACATAAAACTTAGAAAACCAATCCTTATAATGAGAACTGTATATGTTTTAGGACAAGGTTAAGAAATTCCACTGATAATATCTACCATTTACTGTATGTTTACCTTATCTACTGTAGGAATCATTCAAGTTACTCACAGAGGACAGAGTAGTCAGAGATTTTACTCTGTAGGATCAATGATACTTTACAAGAGTGTAAACTCAAATAAATGTAACTAAGTAAATATAACTAATTATTACCCACCTCTGCTAATGGATACAAAATTTCCCCCATAAGTAGTACTGACAGGCTATCTATAACTGGACAGAACTTAGTATTTCACTATCTGCTACTATTCCCATGGCTGGTTTTCTTCACATACTCTTATTCCATAACCCCCTCCTTAGAAAATGCCTGATTCAGCTTTCAGTGGTAACTTGGCAGCAGTCGCTCACCTCTGCAACGGCTGAACAGCTGCCCACTATTCGCTGTGCTTCGTTTGTCTCACTTGGTGAGGTTTCAGGATGACATTAGGCTACTGGAATGTCAGATGAAATAATGTTTCTGAGCCATGCATGGATTTGGCTCTGGATGAATGCATGATTCTTGCATCTCATTTGTCATCTCAGGACAAAAGTGGAGTTTATCATTGACTATTTTCAAAGTTAGTGTAGAATCATTTCATAATCCTCTGATAATAATAATCTTTACTTTCGTCATTACAAAAAAGTTTGCCTTCTACGTTTAACTCATCTCCAATATGGAGAAATGAGCAGCTTGAGGGGAGAAATCCAGGAGTCAGGACACAAGCTCTGCACTCAACACTCCC